ACTGGCAGGCATCTTGTTTTTGTTTTTTTATGCGGTATATCTTGGATGTGCTCTGTCAGTTTTCATTTAAATTTGGCACATACATGTACTTTATACATGTTAGGATGCATGTCCATAACAATTTGTTTCAAAATCTGGTCAAGGATGGCCGATTGACAGCCATCTGACTTTTGGCCTTACTACTATATTTCCACAATTTATGTATCATTTTCATTCGTATTTGGCACATACATCATACATATCAGTGTGTTTCATAATCAGATCAAAGATGGCCGAATAACGGCTGTTTTTATTTTTGGCCATATTACTACTACACGAAACACGTGTTTTGATGTAAATAAACAATCTGTTCTATATGCCACTTGGAACTCAAGTTTCAAGGACACGCTCGCGACAACCCGTCCGCTTTAATATGACAAGCACAATGAGAACTTTCAAAACTTTAACGGGGACTGTGTCATTTTCAATGACTTGTTTATTACATTCTGTAACATATTCTGATAATGTTATATATACATCAAAACTATCACATCAAAGCTGAGAAGAACGAAGAACAACATTACCCAGTAGGATCCATATAAGCTATCCAGTAACTAGGTTTATTCAGTACGACATTCAAGACAACAATTTTTTTATTCAGGCTTCAATCATGTTTAAATTTGGATGTCATTATCAAGAAAATGCAAAATACTGTCTTGTATGATAACATATTTTTTGTGATATTCATACTGAACCTGCCATACTGTTTTTTTTTTTGGCTGTCTGTTTATTAGTCCCTGTTCGGACAAAGTCTGAAAACGGGGACTTATAATTCGGTCTCCATCTGTCCGTCCATTCATGCGTCTGTACGTCTGTCCGGAGTCATATCTCAGAATCCCTTGGACGGATTCCGTTCATTCTTTGCATGTGCCTAGTACTTTATGTGGGACATATGCACATCCAGTGGTTTAGCGATTCAAAATGGCTGACTGGCAGCCATCTTGTTTTTTGAAAATTTTGTATTTTGGACATGCTTTGTCAGTTTTCATTCAAACATAGATTATACATGTTAGGATACATGTCTATGACGATTTATTTTGCAATTGGATCAAAGATGGTTGACTGGCAGGCATCTTTTTTTTTTTTTTTATGCTATATCTTGGACGTGCTCTGTCAGTTTTCATTCAAATTTGGCACATACATGTACTTTATACATGTTAGGATGCATGTCCATGACAATTTGTTTCAAAATCTGGTCAAAGATGGCCGATTGACAGCCATATGACTTTTTGGACTTACTACTATATTTCCACAATTTATGTACCATTTTCATTCATATTTGGCACATACATCAGTGTTTCATAATCAGATCAAAGATGGCTGAATAACAGCTGTTTTTATTTTTGACTATATTACTACTACACGGAACACGTGTTTTAATGTAAATAAACAATCTGTTGTATACGCCACTTGGAACTTAAGTTTCAAGGACACGCTCGCGACAACCCCTCCGCTTTAATATGACGAGCACAAAGAGAACGTTCAAAAATTTAACGGGGACTGTTCAATGACTTGTTTTATTGAAGTTTGGCCTGGCACATTTTTACTCAAATTTTTAGCTCTGCCGTCAACTTTGTCGAGCGGAGATTATCATACGAGTGATTGTCCGTCGTCGTCTGTGTCAACTTTTTACTTTTTCGACTTCTTGATATTGCATATATAGATACTACATGTGGACCTCTCTCAGATTTGTTCATTTCGTAATGATATCTTCAAATCTCTAATTTTGATGAATATTTTTGGTAAAAAGTTATATTTTCGATTTCTTGTTGAAAACTGAAATTTTAATTGCTTTGATATTACACATATGGATACTACATGTGAACCTCTCTCAGATATATTCATTTCATAATGATATCTCCAATTCTCTAATTTTGATGAATATTTTTGTCATTTTTGGTAAAAAGTTATATTTTCGACTTCTTGTTAAAAAACGCAAGTCTGATTGCTTTGATAATATACATATAGGTACCTCAGGTAAACCTCTCTCATATTTGTTCATTTCGTATGATATCGACAATTACTGTAAAATACTTTATTTTAGCTGGAATTAATTTTCGCTGAAAATACTTTTTTGGCGAGTAGAATGTAAAATATAGAAGAAAAAGTATATTCGCTGGATTTTATTTTCACTGAATCATTCCTTTAGCGAAAATTAGTTCCAAGTGAAAATAAAGTATTTTACAGTAACTAATTTTGATGAATATTTTTGTCATTTTCGGTAAAAAGTGATATTTTCGAATTCGTGTTGAAAACAGCAAGTCCTCTCTCAGATTTTTTCATTTTCTATTGATATTTTCTGTTCTTTAATTGAAATGTGCATTGCTAAAAGCGGAGTTATCTCAGTCGAGAGGCTGCTTGTTTAATTTTGTTTTCAAATTCTATGCCCTTGCGATGAAATATTTGGAAATTTATTATCTAACTTTAATGTTCATATTGTTGTGTTTGTTACACAGTGCAGTTCATACATAGAAACTGGACCATAAGTTTTAAATTGATTTATTCATCATCCATTAGATTTTTGATCTAAACCAAATGCTTTGATTCCCAATATCTTCAATTCTCTATTTTTAGCAAATAAACTATTTATCCAGAAATTTTTATTTTCTGTTGCTATGAAATTGACTAAAATAATATATATATAGATTACATTTGGTTTTTAAATAAAGATGTAAAAATGCTAGATATCTTTATCTTTGCTCATTCATAAATGCAGATATATTTGTAGCTCTTCACCCTATGTCAATTTAGCCCTCTATTGACCTTTCTTAGTATTCTATCAACAATAGAGGGCACTGTTTCATCAACAGGGGAAATAATTCTTGTCAATGATCTCTGAAATTATTTGAAACATTTATAACTTTTACATTGTCTTGAATCTGTTAGAGATTACACAGTACAGGTGTATGTCTTAAAGATTGGCCTTGCAGTGAGTTAAATTTTCTAATAGTGTATTAGACTGGTAATATAGATACTAATTTGCTGAAATATATATGTATGTTTCAGGGTGTATTGGTGATGTAAGTCACATGCACGGTATCTTTGACTACCAAGCCAACAACAATAATGCAACAGAATCAGATGTCTTAGCTGACTGTGGTGCGCTGTGGAATGTCGGATGTTATCCTATTAGTCTTATGATAGCATTAATGTCGCAGTGTCCACAAACGGTGTCAGCGATTCAACAGACAGGTTCAAGGTAAGGATGCTTTTTGACTCACATGTGCCAAATGGTTACTTTAGGATTGGAATCCATGCATCCATGCATATTAATAATCAAATTTGCATGAACTAGACAATTTTCGGATGTCTCAACAACCACTTATCAGATTTCAAATATACTTAGTACATAGAGACTCTGGAATAAGCATAAATGTATGTGAGAATAGACATAGAAATGATATGTTAAACAGTCATTCTCACATACATGGAAATGATGCGCTGTTTAAATTTACATGAGAACATACATAAAAACGATCAAACTCACATACATTGGGACAGACAAACTCTATAAAAGTTGTTACACGTTTTGTTATTATTTATTTTCCACTGACACCACCCACCAATCCATGCCTAGACACAATCCTGCACCACCCACCAATCCATGCCTTAACACAATCCTACTCCAATCCATGCCTGGACACAATCCTACACCACCCACCAATCCATGCCTTGACACAATCTTGTACCACCCACCAATCCATGCCTGGACACAATCCTGCACCAATCCATGCCTTGACACAATCCTGTACCACCCACCAATCCATGCCTTAACACAATCCTGCACCAATCCATGCCTTGACACAATCCTGTACCAGCCACCAATGCATGCCTGGACACAATCCTACACCACCCACCAATCCATGCCTTGACACAATCCTGTACCACTCACCAATCCATGACTTGACACAGTCCTGTACCAATCCATG